TTTACCTTTAGGCACTTAGAGACAGTTGAGTGAGTACCTCTAGTCTGATTTCAAATGCACTTGTGGTATAAAACATATCTGCTTCCTGCTGATGAAGATATTTTATAAAGAAGTCTGTTTCACATTTATACACATAAATTATATAAAAATGAAAATGTTTGAATTTGTTTACTTTTACTACGATATCCTCATCCATTGAGAACTTCCATAACCTATCATTTTTACCTCAACTCCTGTCATCATCAGCAACTTCAGTGTTCACCTACAATCTGCATTTCTTAACTCTGCATAAGAGTCACCTGATGAACCTTTACACAACACTGACGTTCAGATCCTACCTGCAAGATTAGGGCTTAATTATCTGGATGGGCCCAGTATTTATGTCACCCAGCTCTTTGGGTGACTTCAATGTATGGTGAATACTGAGAGCCTCTAATCGAAATCACTGATCCAAAATCTAGCCTCCAAGTTTTTCTGATCTCAACTCCAATAACCTTCACCCACCCTCTATTCCCACCACCATCCACTGAACTTTAATTATCCAGAACTGTCCTTTCTTGGCAACTCCACACTCCAAATACCAATTGTCTATCTTTCTGTCATTCTCTGGTGTTCAACCTCACTGAGCTTTTCCTGTCCCTCAACCCCTCACTTCTTTCAATCCACTATCCCTCTCACAGCCTTAGTTCCTTTCTGAAATAGCCCATTACACATATTACCTCAATAATTCTGAGTCAGAACCTTCATTATTTTCATCTTTCTGAGCCTACCACTCATTGTGCAATCTTAAATCAATACAACAACCTGCTTTCTCCACTCCTAAACTGGGCTACTTAGGTAATAAAGTGCACATTCCTGTAGACTGGCGCCCCCATAATTTACGGTGCACAAGCTCACTGCTCCATCATCAAGTCTTTTTAAACACCTCTGGTGAAGAGATACCAACAATGGCTATTCCAAATTCAATGTGGCCTCAAGTCTCCCTCTACCTTATCCTAGGAGAAAACAAAGGCTATTAGGCATGAACTTTCTCAAATCCATGATCACACAATGACCTAACTAGAGATCCAAAGCACCCTTCTTATTGATCTTAGGACACTGATAAATGGATTATTCCCATCTTAAAACTCACTGCTCTCCCACTTGGTTTAAACCAGGACTGGTTTAAAGGAATCCCCCTGCCTGGCAATAGCCTACAGCCTCCTGGCAGGTCCCTCTGCCTCCAGTCTTTAAGCCAACTTCCACTGCAGTGTGTTCTATAACACAGCAAGCATATATAATGCAGAATGGTGTAATAAACATTTTATATCACAACTTTTTCCATGTATGATCACAAATATTTCCCACTATTGTCTGAAATTACATTTTTCTCAGCTTAGTTAACATACAGTGTAATCTTGGCTTCAGGCATAGAACCCAGTGATTCATCATTTACATATAACACCCAGTGCTCATCCCAAAAAGTGCCCTCTCCTTAATGCGCATCATCCATTTTCCCCACCGCCATCAATCCTCAGTTTGTTCTCTGTATTTAAGAGTCTCTTATAGTTTGCCTCTCTCTCTGTTTTTATCTTACTTTTCCTTCCCTTCCCTTATTATCATCTGCTAATTTTCTCAAATTCCACATAGGAGTGAAATCATGTGATATCTTTATCTGACTTATTTTGCTTAGCATAATACCCTCCAGTTCCATCCACATTGGTGGCAAATGGGAAGATTTCATTCTTTTTCATCACCAGAGTAATATTCCATTGTATATATATACCACATCTTTATCCATTCATCAGTTGATGGACATTTGCACTCTTTCCAGAATTTGACTATTGTTGATAGCATGGCTATAAACGCTGGGGTGCATGCGACCCTTTGAATCAGCACTCCTACACCCTTTGGATAAATTCTTAGTAGTGCAATTGCTGGTCGTAGGGTAATTCTATTTTTAATTTTTTGAGGAACCTCCACTGTTTTCCAGAGCAGCTGCACCAGTTTGCATTCCCACCAACAGTGCAAGAGGGCTCCCCTTTATCCACAACCTCACCAACACCCGTTGTTGCCTGAGTTGTTAATTTTAGCCACTCTGACTGGTGTGAGGTGGTATCTCATTGTGGTTTTGACATGTATTTCCCTGATGATGAGCGAAAGGATGTTGAGCATCCTTTCATCCATCTGTTAGCCATCTAGATGTCTTCTTTGGAAAAGTGTCTATTCATGTCTTCTGCCCATTTCTTCACTGGATTATTTGTTTTTCGGGTGTTGAGTTTGGTAAGTTCTTTATAGATTTTTTATATTAGCCCTTTATCTGCTATGTCCTTTCCAAATATCTTCTCCCATTCCATCAGTTGCCTTTTAGTTTTGTTGATTTCCTTTGCTATGCAGAAGCTTTTTATCTTGATGAGATCCCAACATTTTTGCTTTTCTTTCCCTTTCCTTCAGAGATTCTGTATATAAACCTCTGCCTACACTTTACGTCTCCTAAAACATTCCATTGAGTTCTATAAATGTTGTATCGTTCAACACTCAGAATTGTTTTGAAGATTAAGAAGTTTATATATAAAACTAGCAAGAACTAGTTACATGTAATTATAGTAAGTTACCATTTAAAAGTCATCCCCTCTCTTGGGGCTCCTGGGTGGCATTTCAGCTCAGGTCATGATCATGAATTCAAGTCCCGCACGGTCAGTGCAGAGCCTGCTTGGGATTCTATCTCTCCCCTTCTCCCGCTGTCCCTCCCCCATTCGTGCACATGTTCTCTCTCATGCAAAATAAACTAAAAAAAAATAAAATAAAAAAAAAAATAATCCCCTCTCTAAATGAACCTGATTTTATCATTTGGAGTCATGTGTTACATGAAGGAAAAAAAAAAAGTAATTCCTCAAAATTGAAAACAAACTAAAACATATCCATCCATATATCCAGTTGGTGACGTAATCACACAGAAAATTCTTTTAAGTATCCTTGAAATACAAATTCCTAGTGGGATATATCCTTGAAAAGGTAGGGGTCCTAAGAATTTTTTTTTCTAAAGTCATCCCTTTTCCCATCCCTGCATTAGTCTCACATGTTTATCTCTATTACTTGTTTGTTTTTCTAGGTAAACTATAAGGTAATTTTATCAAGTTGAAAAGAATTTAACTATAAATAAACCTGGAGGGGTGTCTGGTTGGCTCAGTAGGTTGAGCATCTGACTTCAGCTTAGGTCATGATCTCACAATTCCTGAGTTTGAGCCCTGCATCAGGCTCAGCACAGAGTAGCCTGTTTTGGATCCTTTGTCTTCCTCTCTCAGTCCCTCCCCGGCTCACGTTAGCGTGCTTTCTCAAAAATAAACAAACATTAAAAAAAAAAAAAAAAAAAAAAAAAAAAAAAAAAAAACCTGCAAAGAAAGGACACACAGTAATAATTAAGTCAACCCATTCTGAAATATGGTAGGCCTCTTCACCTTGTCAATCTTTTATCTTTTTTTTTCTTCTTTTGGTTGTCAAATGATCCTTTGTTGAAATATTTTTCTTTGTAGTTCTTAACTAGCTGGCATTCCACTGTACCACTATTGATATCATCTATGATGTCATGAGTCTGCCAGCCATCAGCACTGCAGCCCACAGATTGGCCAGTTCCCAGGATCTCTTTAATGGTCCCAGAGAGTTCTCTGGCTAAAGATGGGTGCTGCATCTGTCAGGCAATGTCGACAATCTCATCAAAAGTGGTATTTCCACCGTGCTTAATGTTTTTCTGCTTCTGTCTCTTGGTGATTCCTTGACAGCTTTGATAATTAGGACAGAGGCAGAAGATACCAATTCAATTTGGGCCTTTCTGCTCTGAATGGTCAGTTTCACTGTAATCCTCAGACCCTTCTAATCACGGGTTACCGTGGTGATGTCATCACCAACCTTTACTGGAGACAGACGCAGGGGGCTGATCTTGGGGACCAGGGCAGACATGGTACCAACTTCCCCACTGGTGCACCTCAGGTATACACTTTGATCACTTTGGGACTGGAATCTCAAACTTTGGCAGCATGGTGGAGGCAACTGGGGTCAGGATGAACCCAGATTTAGGACAACTGCACCTTCACCTCCTCCAAGCCAAAAGCCAAAGAGCCCATCTTTCATCATTTTAGATCAACCCCCACCTACGTTATAATTGAGGCCAAATGACAATGCTGAATGTGACATTACCAATCTGAATAGGTTGTAAGATTTACTTCAAATATAGAAGTAAAAAAACAACATATAAACAAATATTTGTTCCCTATGATAGTGTATAATGGATCCATAATATATCTACATACCATCACCACAACCCAAATCCCCTGATGCTTAGAATGTGTCTGTGCAAAAGTTTAAGACTGACAGCTTCTTGACCTTCTACAAACATTCCTTTGGGTCTCTGCAGAGGATTTTGGGGAAAGAGTACATATATTCATTCAATAAACGCTGAGCTCCTACTATGTGCCAGGTACTAGATGGTGCTGGGAATACAATAATAAGCAAAATAGCAAGCTCCTTGAGAAAAGGTCTCATTAAAACTTCCCAATTCCCAGAGCAACAAAGAGACAAACAGTAGGACAGTACACCAGAAGCTGCCTGCCTGCCGCTGAGCTGCCCCTACTTTTTAATTTCACTTTTTAATGTTTCCAATTCGCAAACATTTTTAGGAATAAAGAAAAATAGGTGACAGCTAATAGTAGGAGCAGATGCTCAAATACTCCTTCATTAACTGATGGTCTACCTTTATAAAACCTCCATTTTCTTTACAAATTCAATTCAATATAAAAACTTACCATTTTAGAAATTTATTTCCATATTTAGAAATCTACATAAATGAAATATTGCCTTTTATTTTCAAACTTTTAACTTTTAAAAGATAAACTTAATGTGTCTATATTTCAACCTAAACTGGTAAATTTTTGGCACTTAAAGATTTTGTTAGGAGGCCAAGCTTTGGTGTACAAAATTCACTTCCATACTAGGTTGCGAATTATTCTACATCATTAGCAACTTACACTGGGGTGACTTCGAGGAGGTACTCGTTCTCTTGGAAGTCTTTCATAGTCATATCGTCCCTCAGACCACATTTCATCTCTTCTGTAAGCCACTAAACAAAAAGGAACCAAAGAATTACAGTTTTTATGTTTTTAGGAAGTAGTAGAGAAGATTTAAAGAAACAAGTAGTTATTTTCCAACCAGTATTTTCCAGAGATACTTAATGAAAACAATATAAGTGACCAAAGGAAAAAAAGAATGATTAAGGCAATTCTCCCTCCAAATAATTTTGAAATGTTCTTTTAAAAAAAAATATAATAGAAAGCTCCACCTTCCATTTTGAAGGCTATTTAAAGCTTCAAAGAGCTGTTCCCATCAACTATAGTAAAAAGATCCCTAAGACCCCAAATATTTCTTCATTCTCATAGTAAAAATTAGAAAAGATTCATTCTCCTGAATAACTTAAAACTCTGATCAGCAAGCAATGCTACTCCTATTTCTTGGTGGATGGTTTCTATAACACTAAGTTTTTTGTTTTTCTACAGTCTTGGAGCTTATCTCCTCTATATGTTCAATGAAATGGTTAACCAAAAAAAGTGTTAAAAACTTTAAGTGTTAAATCCTATAAAAACACACTCAACAAACCCCAAAATAGAGCACTCTCAATTTTGCTTTTAATACCGTAGATTTATTTTAATGCAAAGACACTCTCATAAAATTTGAAATTAAAAGTTCTATCAACATTTTTCACATTTAGGGTGCAGAGAGAGGCTTCCTACTTTGAGAGCTTATATGTTCTGGGTGGAGGGCTAATGCAGGAAGAAGATGAGAAAAGGGTGCAGGAAATAGCTTGAAGGTCATTTCTATGAAATCGCAATACAATAGATCAGTGGTTGGCAAACTTCTTTGTAAAGGATCAGACTAATATTTTCAGCCTTGCAGGTCACAGGTCTGTCATAACTACTCAATTCTACTGTTATAATATGAAAGCAGCCATAGACAATACATATAAATGTAGCAGTGTGGTCATGTTCCAAAAAATTTTTTATTTACAAAAACAGGCAGGCAGCCCACAGGCAGCAGCTCAATAACCACCAGAGTCGATGAGAAATGGTTAACAGGGCAGAACCAGGAGAAAATGAAGCAGGTTCTGACCCAAGAACTATGAACCACCTGATATGTAGAAGGATGATCACGAGCAAGAACTGAAAATGGGACTGGTACTAACTCAGGGCCTTTTAGTACATACAAAATAGAGCAACAAGTCCAGCTCTAGTCCGCAGAGTTGTGAAGAAGGAAAATTTCTCAGAGAAGATACATGTCAAAAGATTTTTGGTGGCTCTTTATGACGTAGTAACCCTAAAGGGGAAAAAAGAGATGACATCCCATCTTGGCAATACAGAATTCTATGGTCTAAGAAAAAAACAAAGCCTAAAAGATGAGGGCAGTATTTTTTGACACTATCCATAGTACAAACAATCTTAATTTTCTCTGTAAAAACAAACCTACAATATTTTCTAATACAAATAGGCCCAATAAAATGAACTAATGCCAATATGCCTAGAAAAATCTTAAGTCGCAAATTAGCTCTAACATTAATCAACCTGAATTCCAGGTCCATAATCAGATGTCATTAAGAATGTTATTTCAAAGTAACCAATATTTTAGGTACAAGACCTGATGGAAGCTTGGAAGTTGAAATAAAAAGAAAAGAAATTGTCAAAATTACTCCACCTATCCCACTTTTACTGAATCCATCATTTATCCTACTTGAGAGACAGTACAGAGAAAAGCAGCAACCAAATGAAACCAAATCACAGAAAAAAAAATGAACACAAAAGAAAAATGCACAAATGATATGAAGTCAGTTCACAAAAGAGTAAATACAATGACTCAATCTTTTGAAAAGATGCTCAACTTTCTTCAAAATAAGAAAAATGAAAACGAAAACTATAATGGAATACTAATTTTCACCCAAAGCTCTGCAAAAATCAAACTCCTTTGACTAGAGTAAGAAAAGCAACACTCTCCTATATTAACAAAACAAGTATACTTTGGTACAGACTGGGAAAAAAACTGGCAATTAATATTAAATATTAAATGCACATATGCTTTGACCTGGTAATTCAACTTTTATGTATACTTCCATAGGTGAACAGCAAAGACTGAAACCAACCTAAAATGATGGTCAGGAGGGTACAGAATAAATAAAATGTTGTACATTCATACAAAGGATCATTATGCAAGCCATTTCAAAGAAAAGTCACCCCACATATAATATAGAAAGAATGCCGAGATACACTGGTAAGTAAGAAACAACAAAGGGTAGATTAATATGTTGAATATGCTGCCACTCTGGGAAAATATAAAGACAGGGTATGAATATATATGCACGTGCACAGAATACTTCTGGGAGTATAAGCAAGAAAAGGAACAGTGCCTGCCACTGGGGAGAACTGGGTGGCTGAGTATAGGAAGGTGAATATTTTCAATGCATGTTTTATATACATCCTATGACCCATAACAAAAATAAAGAACTATATTTAAAGGTCTTGGAAATCGTTTAATAAGCATCTCAGTCGAAGGCACATGTGACTCTAGATCTCAGGATTTTGAGTTCAAGCCCTATGTGGGGCTTTTTTTATTTAAAAACATAAGCATAACGTGTAAAGTGATGGCAAAAACTATGAATATAAATTAATGAACTTAAGGAAAACAAGTAAAAGTAAGATTCTGTAATTAATGAAACAAAAATAAATTACAAGAGTTCTAAAGAAATGCTATACAGATTCTTAACTAGATATAACACTACGATATTAAAATTACTGGCTTCCCACAAAAAATGTAAGAATAACTACTATACTACTTACTTGAGTCCTTTCAGGAATCAAATATAAAGTTTTCAACAATCTCCTGTAGGAGGGGGGGAAAAATACAGACATAAGGATTTGTGTCTGTATAAATCAACCAATGGAGAAAAATAATTAACCCTTCATTATTTGTATAAATAAAACCCTAAGAACAAAAAGGTATGACCATTAGTAAGCCGAACTCCCTTCAAACACATTTTTAAAAATAGAAGAGATTATTTTGACCACAAGAGGCCACCCAAGTTTCATAAGAATAACCCAATTATATTAAAAGAATTCTCCTAATTTTGCCAGTTCAGAGCTGGGCAGGACAGTTTTCTTACCCTTATCTTTGAAAGAACTGCTTGAGATTTTTAAGGCAATTTTCATCTAGAATATTAAGAATGCTGGCTTTAAAATATCTCACCTATTTAAAAAAAATCTAGTATCCTTAATCTGGAAATCCCTACAGTTTTATATTGGCAATAAATAGTCCCATGTTCAAAAATCATCCCAAAATCAAGGCAAGAATCATCAACTCATCAAAAAATACTGTATCTACTAGATAAAAATTTGATAAAGAACTTTTTGTTTAGATTTGAGGACAGTTGACACCCAACATTACATTAGTTTCAGGTGTACAACATGGTAATTACACATTATGCTATGCTCACAAATGTAGCTACCATCTGTCACCATATATCACTATTACAATGTCATTGACTATATTCTCTATGCTGTGCTTTTTTACTCCTGTGACTTCATTCCAGAACTTGCACCCTGTAATCTCCCATGATGGAGAACTTTTAACACTTTCCCCCAAAAGAAATAAAGTGCACTGAGCAAGTTTAGGTAAAATGAAGACAGTAACAACAAATTAATAATGTGCATATCATGATGGAAATTGCAAATCTATGAACCAGTCTTATCTTCAAAAAAAAAAAAAAAAAAAAAAAAAAAGGGGGGGCGCCTGGGTGGCGCAGTCGGTTAGGCGTCCGACTTCAGCCAGGTCACGATCTCGCGGTCCGTGAGTTCGAGCCCCGCGTCAGGCTCTGGGCTGATGGCTCGGAGCCTGGAGCCTGTTTCCGATTCTGTGTCTCCCTCTCTCTCTGCCCTTCCCCCGTTCATGCTCTGTCTCTCTCTGTCCCAAAAATAAACAAACGTTGAAAAAAAAAAAAAATTAAAAAAAAAAAAAAGTGGGGAATCTAAGTCTACTCAAGCCTGTAGCTCTATCTACCACTTTACCAGAAACTCAAAGGATAGGAGTGGCTCTACTGGAAAGATTAGGCCCATTTAATTGCTACATAGAAATTCTGTGCTCACTAGCCACATGCAAAAATAAAGTTCTTTTTACAGTCTTAAATTTAGAGGTCACTCCTGATCTAGTTCCTTTTTCTGCCTGGAAGTCTACAAGACAAATAATAGAATTTTATTGTTATTACCTCAAAAGATTTCTACTTTAATTAATCAATCTACAATTTACAGAAGCTTAAAAAAAAGTAGCAAAGAAAGTCAAATTGGAAACAAAGCAGCAAGTACAAGGCAAAATTAAAAATATAATAAGAATTCAAAATAGAATGCCTAGAATATACACCATCAAGAGACAAGAGACCAATTAAATGTATTTGTGAAAGAGTTAAATATGAACAAAATGAATCAAAGCTAAAATCTGGAGATGACTCAACAAGTGGAAGCAGAAAAAAGCCAAAATAAATGTACATTTTCTGATAGAAACTTACCATTTAATGAGTATGTTGTTTTAGTTTGGGAAGATGAAAGTGTTGGATGGGAGTGATGGTTGCAACAATGTGAATGTACTTATTAATACCCATGAATTGTATATTTAATGGTTAGAATGGTAAATTCTATGTGTATTTTAACACAGTAAAAGACAAAAACAAAAACATGAATTTATCTGGCAAACTCCCAGATGAATTTGCTGAATATAACTACCACTTCTGTAGGGTTTCAATCTGTATATTAAACTTAATTTCTACTAGAAACAAACAGCAACAATGAAACAGCTACTCATTGCACTAACGTTACTACAATTTCAATTCCTACAGTTAATCCTAAAACAGTTTTGCATATTTAACTCCGTGTTTGATGATGCCCCAGTGGAGTATTCATCTTACAGGGAGCTATGGAAATCAGTTAAATGTAAAAACGTTTAGTAAATAAATAAATTCTCTTTACTTTAAAAAGTTGAGGGGCACCTGGGTGGCTCAGTCGGTTGAGTGTCTGACTCTTGATTTCGG